AATGTAGTGCAGATCATTAAATTTTGTGGACATTTTCTATGATGAAAATCATTTATAAGGAGGTCTCTACCCTTAAATTGTACAAATTTTTATTGTTTTCTGCAAATGTAAAACATATTCTTCTAATTTGATATGCATTTCTTCCCATTAATTTTATATTACTAAATTTTTTAGTCAAATGAATCACTTTTAACTTATTATATTTTAAAATCTTAAAAAAGAAATTTACATAAATTATCAGATCTGCTTAGATGAATATAATATAATAAATAAAGAAAAATTGTCAAATGATATGAATATCTAAAGTTAGTTCTATTAAAAATTTTTACATGGCTAATTCATCCATTCTGAGAGACACTGTCGCTTTTTTGAGGGTTCATATGTTATATTGTGATAAATATAATCAATTAAATGTTTATCATGTTCTTTTTTGATGAACTTATGCCAACCAACATCCAGATGCCAATTAATAGTAGGATTTAAACTTTCAGGATATTTTGCCCTCCCCTCCCTTCCTGCCAAATCAAAGTCCACAATTTTAATATCAACTTCTCCATTTTCATATTTAGCCATGATGTTCTCATCACGAAAATTTCCATGTACATAATCAGAGTCATGAAGTAATTTTACAGCATTTCTAACAGCATTTTCTGTTTGAGGAAATATTCTTGAATCAAGAGCATGTAGTGTTTTATATTCTTCCAGGTATTCCATGATAACAATCTTCCAGCCTAGTTGAAGGCTATTGACTGCCCATAATTTGAGTGCTAAACCTAGTTCAAAACATTTTCCATGTGCTTCTCCAGAATATTCTTGGGTGAATTTGACCAAACCCTTAGCTTTTTTGTCTCCAAATTGGATTTCTACCATCCATAAATTTCGATTTATAGAATATCTTTCTTTGTATTTGATGATAACTGTTCCTTCTTCTAAATTAACCTTATTGATGCATGGAAATAAATGATCACGATTGGCAATAGTTTCAAAAAGATTCATAAACAGAATTATAATATTCTTTCAAAATATATAAATACTTTTTTAAAGCCAGAAATATGTGAGGGATTGAGATCGTCATTGTTATCAAATATGCCTGCTGATTATGCGCAAATGATGGAGATGTGGACTCATCAAAACGACCAACTATTCTAGATCTTTGGAGGTTCGTTAATAATAAATTAAAGGAAATTTATAAAGGTAAAATCGATTCTAACAACAATAGCGATGTTAATAGTGGCAGTAATAGCAGCAGTCACTCACCACAAACACACAAAAAACAACATAGCGGGCTTAAATATGATTGGTTGATTTTAGAAATCATAGTCACATATTATTTAATATAAAAATTTACCATCACCTGACTTTAAATGATAACGCAGCCTCACAAATAAGAACGCAGATAATAAAATTTATTGTATTCCAAAATACACACTTCAAATCGCAAACTATTAAAATAATTTGAATAAGGGCAGGTAATTCAGAAGTTAGCTTTAGAGTATTCTTTTTAAAAAACCCCGAAGGTAGGTTTTCAATAACTAATTTAAAAATGAATGAGCAAAGTCGAAATAAATGTGGAAAAAAAAGGTAAGAGGAAGGTAGAATACTGTAATTTAGAAGGTTACAATGAAGTTATATGTGATTATGAAAAGAATGGCACTTCTATTATATCTGATAGAGTAACAATTAATTGTCATTTAAATTTAGTAGGAAAAGCTCTATGTAGAAAGAATTACAATAAGTTATTGTTAATGCAAAAAAAATCTGGTTAGTATTAGTAATTTAAATTATTCTTTTGTATTTGTTGAAACTAGAAGGTACATTTATAAACATTTATCATATAACTCTTACACTATTTCATGATTTCTGGATCGTGAGTTGGTTGTAATGGTGAGCAATATTTATAAGTTATTTAATATTTAATACCTAATATTCCTATATTTATCTAATATTCAATATCTAGTATCCATTTATTAGATAAGAATTATGTGATAGTTTAATATACATAAGTTCACGGAAATTTTTACAAGTATTCCTGGGATTAAAATTCAAAGGATTATTGGTTTCAACGTAAATTGATATAGAATATTTATGCTGTCTCAAACCACAGGTGTACTTATTACATTGTAATTATAGCAAGAGTTTTCATCCTAATGTTTCTGCTGAATTATTTATTACCAATTACAAATAAAAAATATTGCTAAGATTATGTTTATTTATTATCTTGAAATCAATATTAAAAGCTTTTAATAATGATCGGCATATTATAAAATTATCCAATCAATTTCTTTATGTATCGACCAATCACAGAAAAAGCCCGCTATGTTACAAAAAACATCCATCAGCATACCATACAAGCAGAATATTAGATGATGAATTTGCTAAAGCAAAAAGTTTAAGAAGTAATGATAGCTCGTTAAATGATCTTGATTTTGGATCTATGTTAAGTTGAATGAAAATTTCGCTGTTGATTGTATGAAACGAAATAAATGGTTAATGAAATTGGTAAATCGTGATATATACGCATTGATTCAATTGTAATTAATGAAATATAAAAAGAATAAAAAATCATCGAATGTCACAATTTTACAATCACTCTTACTAATTGACAACTTTATACAAAAAAAAAATTCTTTTATTCCATTATGTTTTTTTGAAAATATTATCGCTGCTTGCTTAAAATACACAGAAAAAATTTAAGAAAAAACCATAATTTTAGAATCGTCAAGATTTTAAAAGTATCATCCTCCTAATCAAAGTGCTAATTAAGTAATATTGTTGGTATAATATAATTAGGGGCTAATACTTTGGTACAAAAAAATGTGTTTATTTCTCAATCACATAAATGTATTCGTTAAGCTGGCTCTCCCGCTAAATTAATCATTCGGTTTACAGCGTGTGTTTTCATAATGATATTATAATGTGGGGATTTTAGAAAATGTAACTCTAGTTACCATTTTATTCAAAAGATAGTATTAAAAACTTAAGAGATCTTTCTTTTAATCGGTGTTAAAAAAATCGAACTTGTATCCTCCTCCTCCATTGTAGTATTAACCTTTCTTCTAAAAACATTACGTTCTGCCCTTATATGTTTTGAAATGTAATCAAAGTCATCGTACACGCTTTTAATCAACCTTTTAAAAATTAATAATCCACAAATAAAGTTGAATACATCATCTTCATTACTATAAGACTCAACAGGTATACAAATATCAAAAACCCTTCTTATTCGTGCAAATTTTTGTGTCTCGTGATTGACTTTATCGTATAACAAGAGTTTAATCGATGTTTCTATTATACAAATTAGTGAGAAATTAAAGATTAATAATAAAAATATTACTGAAATATAATTGATAGTCACCATAAACAAGGAAACCAAGTAGTGGAATTTTATTCAATTTATCCACAATATGTTCATCAAATATTGAAGGAAATTCAGAATTAAATTTCCTAATTCTTGATTCATAGTTACGATGTAAATAACGAATGATTTTCCTTCTATCTTTTTCAATTTTCGTTGTCTTGCAGTCAAAGGGCGGTCCTACACACTCCAAATATAAGAACTCATAGTCTTTGTTATGAAGAGTGAATGTTCCCATACAATCTGGCAGTTTGCGTGCGTTTTTGATGGTGGTTTGAAACGATTTTGTCTGTTTCAAAAACCATAAATCATAGTCATCAAAATTAGCATGATTAAGATTCCCTTCAATTGCCAATTTGTTTTGCCTAAATTAATGAAAGTAATCAATTAGTCGAATTAATTATTAATAATTCAAAAACTCAAAATCACAAACCAATCTAATTTCATGAGCTTTTCTCCTTCAACTGTTAGGTGTAGTATACGATGCATGACATCGTATAAGAATGTTGCCTCATTAATTGAACCATCTCCTTTACTCTTATGATCATATCTTTGACGTCTCCAGATATCTTGCCTGCAATTTGAATGACTATTTGTATATATTTATTTTAAAAAACTTTTACAAAAACTATCTAAACACTTACAGGTGCTCGTAAACCTTATCAATGTAATCTTTATCTTCACAAATTATATCATTATTAACTTCATTTTTGATTAGCGATTTTATGTAGTTGTGGGTTGCATCACTGAAATATTCAAATTCAACTTCAATGGCAATTTTAAGCTCACGTTCCATGAAAATCTTACTGATAAAGGAACAAGGACGATCAAGGTCAATGATGAAGGAAAGAAAAGGATTATCAAAAGACATCTTTTCAAGATTTTCGATTTCTATTATATTCGATATTGTTTCTTCGATCTCAATAGGAACTCCCCCAATTGTCCAAGTTTCAGCATTTTCATTCTGAATTTAATTATAAAATTAATAATACATTAATATTGGACGATAAATTGAAAAGTAAATATGTGAATATACATACAATTTTTCGATACTTCTCAAAAACATCATTTACATTTGAGATTCTGTGAAAAATCATATCATTTGGTGATACCTCCTTTGTTGATCTGGTTGAATTTGTTGATCTGGTTGAATTTGTTGATCTGGTTGAATTTGTTGATCTGGTTGAATTTGTTGATACCGAAGGTCTTATAAGAGTAGGAGAAGAGGGTGAAGCCGTCTCATGAACAGAGTCCGAAGCTAAAATACGTTTTAATAGATGTTGACAAGGATTTTAACATTCCATCTGACTTTGATTAAAATAAAATAAAAAAGATACCTTGTATTTTATAAAGAGTTAAATCATCACTATATCTTTTCATAACACTCCAAAAATGCAGCGCATTTTTGTCTTTAACTACACCTTCCCATAAAGTCGAAAGGTCATCTGATGTGCGTTGGATCTTCAAATAAAAGTAAAAACTAAAAAAGTTACTAGCTTATCAAGTACGGCAAATGCAAAATCTTAAATTTATCAAATATATCAGAAAAAATTCCAACAACTCTATGTTCAATTATGCTATTTACAACAGCAGATATGCGAAGTAATAATGAAAAAATCAAAAAGAGAAGAAAATTAAAGGAATTCTAATTTAAAAGGAAATACACAAGCGTGCAAGGGAGCTCACAGAGCATCAAGCGTGCAAGTGCCTCACAGAGGATTTAAAGTCATATAACAATAATAAAATAATAATAATGTAATAAGAATTATAAATCGTCTCCAGAGATTTTTTTTTCATCATTTGAATGAAAATAATTTTTTCCACAGCAAAGATTTAAACTAACCTCAGTGATACGAAGATGTTCATCTTTTAAGTGCGTCCTATACTCTTCATCATTAAGAGAAAATAATTCAATTCCATCGCAAAAATGGTTATTTATTTCTAACTGAAATAAACAGAAATAAAACCATAGTAAAAAACAACACTAAGTAAAATAATTTTATTGTATCATAAAGTTTTCACTTCTTTTACCTTATTACTATATTTTGTCTTAATTTTGTCTTCGTAAATTATTTGGAAAACATAAAAGCGAATCAAATCAAAGGTGTATGGTAATTGATCTTTAAAATATAGGTTCATTTTTTCAAGAAAAAAAAAATTGTTTTTGAAGGTGTTATGTAATTTAAAAAATACTTTTCGCGAATGACGCGAGTCTAGAGACCGTGCTGGTAACACGAAATTTTAACTCCATGTAATCATTGATTGGCCAATCAAAATCGCGAATTTTGATAGCGTAAAAAAACATATCAGTCGCAGGACATTGCGGATCTACAGGGGGTCAAGTGTCACTCACTAATAAAATTTTTTTGATCAACATGGAATTTTATATGAAAAAATGAAGAAAAAAATCACGCTTTCATACACAAACTTGCCCGATTTAATCAAATTATTACTTGAATCATGAAAATAACAAATATATGAAAAAACCTTTATTTTATTAAAAGGCGGGTGATGCAATTAGTACTATGCGTGACGCATTGACGCAGACGCAAGATGCAATTCATGCTATTGAAAACATTGATATTACATTCAAAAAATGCTATAAATAACACTGCATTCAAAAATAATATGAACTTTATGATTTCTACCAATTTGAGGAATTTGAGGAATTTTTTAATATTTTGGATGATAATTTTGAAAATTACATAATATGAATGTAACACATCCGAAGGTTCTTTCATATTAAACAATGATTCATATTAGACAATAACTTTTCCAATTTCTGAAATAGAAAGTTATAATTATGGGCAAACTCATCAAAAAAAAATTTTTTTTATTAATATGCAAGAAAAGGTTTATATTTTAATTAATTCACAGAAATTAATTACTGTAATAAATTAATAGTTGAAATGATAATAGTAAAAAAAAATTATAGATTTTAACACTTTTACAAAATTTGAAAATGTCACATATACATGCATCACATTAATAAATTATGAGTTGCGTCTTGCGTCATGAATTGCATCTTGCGTCAATGCGTCAAATCCATGATGGGTGCAATGCTCGATTTTTTGGTTTTTGAATTGCGTCTGATGCAATTCGATAATTTTGACAACATGTATAATCATGATGTTTTCTTTTTCCAACATTTATTATTTTCCTTTCTTCATGGTAAATTTCATAAGTAATCCTTTCTTTTCTTAGATAAACTTCCAGTGTCTGAGTATCATTTATTTTGAAAATATAAGGTGCAATCTTTTCCCCTTGTTCCTTTTTTAAAATACTTCTAATGGTACTATAATTCTTGGGTTCCATAGTAGATCTGATATAAATGAGTTTCATATTAACTATTTTTACATAGGGATAGTTCTATATATCACTTAAGATAACAAATGGAAGATTTTAATAATCACATTACTAAATTTTGATCCCTGAAATCTTTGGTAATACAAATGTTCACTTTGTCTGGTTTTGTTGCAGCATGCCCCATATAATAGTAACAAAAAATAATGACAAGAATTATTTATAATCATTTAGTTAGCTATATTTTTCTGCAGTACTCGCAATAACTGATTTTACTTAACACCAATAAAACAGTTACTTTTAACTTTGGGAAAATGGTTCTGATCCGGTTTTTCAAGTGCAGTTTGAAATCAATCTAGAAATATGCTCATTCAAATCTGTTAATTTGTTCAAAGCATGCTTTTTAACTCTTGTCTGTTATGCTTTCTGAGAAACATTCAAAACATTCATAGAGCCAGTTGAATCAATGTGCTTCTAAAAGTGAAATATATATTACTATTTGCCAAGTATTTTACTGGATTTCTTTTATTAACCAACTATTTATATATATGATCATTCCAGTATCCATTTATTAGATAAGAATTATGTGATAGTTTAATATACATAAGTTCACGGAAATTTTTACAAGTATTCCTGGGATTAAAATTCAAAGGATTATTGGTTTCAACGTAAATTGATATAGAATATTTATGCTGTCTCAAACCACAGGTGTACTTATTACATTGTAATTATAGCAAGAGTTTTCATCCTAATGTTTCTGCTGAATTATTTATTACCAATTACAAATAAAAAATATTGCTAAGATTATGTTTATTTATTATCTTGAAATCAATATTAAAAGCTTTTAATAATGATCGGCATATTATAAAATTATCCAATCAATTTCTTTATGTATCGACCAATCACAGAAAAAGCCCGCTATGTTACAAAAAACATCCATCAGCATACCATACAAGCAGAATATTAGATGATGAATTTGCTAAAGCAAAAAGTTTAAGAAGTAATGATAGCTCGTTAAATGATCTTGATTTTGGATCTATGTTAAGTTGAATGAAAATTTCGCTGTTGATTGTATGAAACGAAATAAATGGTTAATGAAATTGGTAAATCGTGATATATACGCATTGATTCAATTGTAATTAATGAAATATAAAAAGAATAAAAAATCATCGAATGTCACAATTTTACAATCACTCTTACTAATTGACAACTTTATACAAAAAAAAAATTCTTTTATTCCATTATGTTTTTTTGAAAATATTATCGCTGCTTGCTTAAAATACACAGAAAAAATTTAAGAAAAAACCATAATTTTAGAATCGTCAAGATTTTAAAAGTATCATCCTCCTAATCAAAGTGCTAATTAAGTAATATTGTTGGTATAATATAATTAGGGGCTAATACTTTGGTACAAAAAAATGTGTTTATTTCTCAATCACATAAATGTATTCGTTAAGCTGGCTCTCCCGCTAAATTAATCATTCGGTTTACAGCGTGTGTTTTCATAATGATATTATAATGTGGGGATTTTAGAAAATGTAACTCTAGTTACCATTTTATTCAAAAGATAGTATTAAAAACTTAAGAGATCTTTCTTTTAATCGGTGTTAAAAAAATCGAACTTGTATCCTCCTCCTCCATTGTAGTATTAACCTTTCTTCTAAAAACATTACGTTCTGCCCTTATATGTTTTGAAATGTAATCAAAGTCATCGTACACGCTTTTAATCAACCTTTTAAAAATTAATAATCCACAAATAAAGTTGAATACATCATCTTCATTACTATAAGACTCAACAGGTATACAAATATCAAAAACCCTTCTTATTCGTGCAAATTTTTGTGTCTCGTGATTGACTTTATCGTATAACAAGAGTTTAATCGATGTTTCTATTATACAAATTAGTGAGAAATTAAAGATTAATAATAAAAATATTACTGAAATATAATTGATAGTCACCATAAACAAGGAAACCAAGTAGTGGAATTTTATTCAATTTATCCACAATATGTTCATCAAATATTGAAGGAAATTCAGAATTAAATTTCCTAATTCTTGATTCATAGTTACGATGTAAATAACGAATGATTTTCCTTCTATCTTTTTCAATTTTCGTTGTCTTGCAGTCAAAGGGCGGTCCTACACACTCCAAATATAAGAACTCATAGTCTTTGTTATGAAGAGTGAATGTTCCCATACAATCTGGCAGTTTGCGTGCGTTTTTGATGGTGGTTTGAAACGATTTTGTCTGTTTCAAAAACCATAAATCATAGTCATCAAAATTAGCATGATTAAGATTCCCTTCAATTGCCAATTTGTTTTGCCTAAATTAATGAAAGTAATCAATTAGTCGAATTAATTATTAATAATTCAAAAACTCAAAATCACAAACCAATCTAATTTCATGAGCTTTTCTCCTTCAACTGTTAGGTGTAGTATACGATGCATGACATCGTATAAGAATGTTGCCTCATTAATTGAACCATCTCCTTTACTCTTATGATCATATCTTTGACGTCTCCAGATATCTTGCCTGCAATTTGAATGACTATTTGTATATATTTATTTTAAAAAACTTTTACAAAAACTATCTAAACACTTACAGGTGCTCGTAAACCTTATCAATGTAATCTTTATCTTCACAAATTATATCATTATTAACTTCATTTTTGATTAGCGATTTTATGTAGTTGTGGGTTGCATCACTGAAATATTCAAATTCAACTTCAATGGCAATTTTAAGCTCACGTTCCATGAAAATCTTACTGATAAAGGAACAAGGACGATCAAGGTCAATGATGAAGGAAAGAAAAGGATTATCAAAAGACATCTTTTCAAGATTTTCGATTTCTATTATATTCGATATTGTTTCTTCGATCTCAATAGGAACTCCCCCAATTGTCCAAGTTTCAGCATTTTCATTCTGAATTTAATTATAAAATTAATAATACATTAATATTGGACGATAAATTGAAAAGTAAATATGTGAATATACATACAATTTTTCGATACTTCTCAAAAACATCATTTACATTTGAGATTCTGTGAAAAATCATATCATTTGGTGATACCTCCTTTGTTGATCTGGTTGAATTTGTTGATCTGGTTGAATTTGTTGATCTGGTTGAATTTGTTGATCTGGTTGAATTTGTTGATCTGGTTGAATTTGTTGATACCGAAGGTCTTATAAGAGTAGGAGAAGAGGGTGAAGCCGTCTCATGAACAGAGTCCGAAGCTAAAATACGTTTTAATAGATGTTGACAAGGATTTTAACATTCCATCTGACTTTGATTAAAATAAAATAAAAAAGATACCTTGTATTTTATAAAGAGTTAAATCATCACTATATCTTTTCATAACACTCCAAAAATGCAGCGCATTTTTGTCTTTAACTACACCTTCCCATAAAGTCGAAAGGTCATCTGATGTGCGTTGGATCTTCAAATAAAAGTAAAAACTAAAAAAGTTACTAGCTTATCAAGTACGGCAAATGCAAAATCTTAAATTTATCAAATATATCAGAAAAAATTCCAACAACTCTATGTTCAATTATGCTATTTACAACAGCAGATATGCGAAGTAATAATGAAAAAATCAAAAAGAGAAGAAAATTAAAGGAATTCTAATTTAAAAGGAAATACACAAGCGTGCAAGGGAGCTCACAGAGCATCAAGCGTGCAAGTGCCTCACAGAGGATTTAAA